TTTCAGAATCAGAGCACCTACTCTGCTCGGGGTCTTTTATTTTGAAACTGACTGGCTCCTCTGTACATTTCAATTTGGTAAACTATCAAGCGTTGAATTGAGTGGGCACCGTCAGCCGCCCCACTTATTGCTGTGATGAGACCAAAGGTGTGGTGAACTGAATTATCCTTTAATTTGGACTTTTTCTGTGCATATACAACATGTTTTAAATCAAGAGTTGAATTCTTTTAAATGATCATTTGATTTCATTTAATAATGAACCTGGCAGCACCAGTATCTTTTATTAGTCTGATTTCAGAGATTTCATGTTGCTTTCTAAAGAAATCAGCAGGAGGAACCACTGAGAATAAAGTGGAACTAAGAGATGCTTCTTCATTAGAAGACAAAAAATATGCATGGAGGTGAGCCAGCAGCTGACTCACTCCTGATACAGAATAACAGGAATAACTTCTGCTTTCCAGATTTCCAGTGAACTCGGCTGTTTGGCACCGTTACGCAGTCGGAAGGTGCAAATTTAGAAATATCATCAGATGCATATGTGCTGTCCCATGCAACGGTTTAACTGTGGTACTTTTAACAGCTTTGTATACTTTTTGTAGATTTTTCTAATTTGATCAAAATACTGTAAGTGTGTTGTATTGATCAGTGTAATTACATTTTTATCAGTAAGACATTTTTTCAAGAAAAACGTGGAGTTGTTGCCTGACTTCCTGTTTCCTTCATTTGTTGCCGCTGCTCCTCTTTTAAATCTCCAGAAGGAATAGGCATAAAAAAAGGTGCAGTGACTCATTTAAGTTTAGAAAGAAGAAAAGCTAATTTTCCAAATAACTACTAATAATTAGTGACAGGATCATCAGATTATCCTGTGTATGCTGAACTTTGCAGTTTCCATGTCTTAAAAAACATCATTAAAAAATGTCTTTGACGATCATCTGCTTACTGAAAGTGAAAAACTATATCTGTCATACACTTAAATGTGTAAATATATATAAGGTGGTGTTATCTGCTTTCTCTCGGTATGATTTACTGTCAGAATGTTTGCTCTCTATTGAATTTGTGTGATTAAACAGCGCACAAAAGGCGGCACAGCAGGTGGTCAGTACGATCATAAATATACAGATACTGAACCCTTTCAAAATAAGACCTTATCATATGTAGACACTCTCAAAGCATTTCATTTCTTAAAAACATCCGCCTTACTTTCTTATCGAGCACTGCAAACGAAACTATAGTCTTTTATGCAGGAGTTCCTGGTGTTTTACACAAAACATGCAGCAGATGGAGCCATTTCAGTGGGTAATTTTAAGCTCGGCGCATCATCACTTCTGACATGTTTCATGTAAACTGTATAGATTTAGAACCCAGAGCTAGGTGATTAATTCAAGTCAGTACCACAGCTGCCACTTGTATATTTTGCCTGTGATTATCATGCGAGTTAATATTTCTTCGGGGCACACATGTAGGCAGCAGGAGCTGCGGTCTGGATGCCAGATTGGAGTCTGAACGTTTCAAAACAGACTTTTCATTTTTCATA